ATGGCTTCTTCTGAGTATCATAGGATGTAGCTCCTTGGATCTTTTTGCTTTTGATTCCATTTTCAACTTGTTTCCCAATTAGAATCAATTCGGTGAACCCAACTGAGGAGCTTTCGATTAGGTGATTGAAGAAAGGTCCTGCCAAAATTCCCATAAAGATATCAACTAGATCCCCGTCCGTTAAGGGTGGCTGCACCCGGCCAGCTAGGTCTCTCCACTTTTGGGCGTATTCCTTGAAGCCCTCGTTTGAACCCATGGTCATATTCTACAATTGCACACGAGTTGGTGCGAGATCAACGTTGTATTGGTACTGCTTATAGAAAGCAGCATCTAGATCCTCCCAAGTGTGGATGCAGGAACTCTCCAATTGATAGAACCAAGCAAGTTGAGTCTCATCTAGACTCTCTTGGAAGAAATGGACCCAAAGCTTTCGGTTAGTAGTATGTGGCTGAATCTTACGCACGTAAGATCTTAGATGTAGTTTCGGGAAAGAGACTCCATCATACTTGGAAAAAGCAGGGATCTTGAACTTGTAGGGAATGACCATGCCAGGAACCAAACACAAGTCTCCAAGGTCCAAGCCAGGTACAACTTAGATCTCTACAACCTTTAATCTGTCTTCAAGATGTTTGTATCTTTCATCCACCGGTGGATACTGCTCCTCAAAGTAGTCTTCGTCGTCAGTAGCTTGGTTAGCTCTAGTGCTTCTAGATTCCTCTTCTTGATTGTCTTCTTCCTAAAAAAAAAGTATCTTCTTTTTGAGTTAGTTGGACAGGACCCTTGAACCTTCTTCCTATGTTGAGGGTGACAACCTTATTCTTCTTCTTACTCTCTTTGGTGAAGAGCGTTTTCAGATCTTCCTGTCCCTTGGCTAAGTTCATGAGCATCTATTAGAACTGGGCGTTTTGAGCTTGGAGATCTTTAACTGTTTGCTCTAGATCCATCTCTACTAAAATAAACAGTAGGCAGATGAGAAAACTTGTAAGGGGGAACTCTGTCATGATATGATTCATGGTATGTGGATGCAATGTTTTCAAGGATCTCGCGGGGAAAACACAATAAAATGTTAGAAGTTAAACTTTGATCATAGCTTTGATTGGAGAACTTCGTATCGATGAATGTCCTTCCACGAGAATCAAGCTCACCATGTCAAGTGGGTCATAGCCCTTGACTCAAGTTAACATGGTTTGGTCTTTGACAACATTTGGTTAGAGGAGAATAAATCCCCTTGCCCCCTCGATAGACGTCTTGGTTCAACGTGACCCTGCATCATAGGCCCTTGAGATCCTTGAAATGGTTATTGAAAATTCTATGTTATGATGTTATGATGGTTATGTACAAGTATGCAAAACAAGCAAGTTTATATGTACAAATAATCATATACACACAAAACAAACAAGTCCTTAAGTTTAGGCTTGCAATGGGGTTTGTAGGTAAGTACCGTCTTGAAGTTTAGTTGGCTCAACCTGTCCTAGAAAGTAAACAGGTTCTAGGGGATCTCAATATCACCGACCTTTCTTTTAGGCATTGTCTCAGCATAATCAATCTTTTCTTGTGGCCGAGATATCCCAAAAGTCCGATCTCAATGAGTGTAGCATCGAGTATCAACCAATCTTCAGCTTTCCACCGAAACCCATTATCTCACAACTTCCTAATGGACAAGTTGTTCAATTAATGTTCTAAGGTCAGTTAGTGCTTAATGACACCTCTCAACGGCCCCGTATTCTCCTCGATTCAACACAAGGGATACTGGTACCAACAAATGCTTCACACTAACATAGCCATTGCTTAAACCATGTCGGTTTACGCCGTACAGTTTCCACAACCTATTGCTACTTACCTAAAGAGGTGCCCCAGATCCGGGTAGAGGATCAAAACAAACCCAAGCAAGGAACCATAATGTAAAGCAAGAAAGTCAAACAATGAAAGCACTTTAAATGTGATATAGTATCTAAGGTAACCCCACTTTTAGATAGAGTCCCCAGCAGAGTCTCCAGTTCTGTGATACGGTGGGAGAACTGACTTGGTTATTTTGTGTTTAATCGCAATTGTTGCGGATAGAAAGAGTCGCCACCGACTTTTCTTTTATCCAATAAGGAAAGGGTGAAAATGACATGAAAAACCTTTGAGATTATTTTCTTGAGTTCGGGGGGGGGGGGGTAGGTTATGAAAAGAGAAGGTGTTAGCACCCTTTTCACCCGTAGTTATCTACAAGTTCTTAGTTGCTTTCTAGATCACTTGCTTTGTTTGAAAATATGCTTTGTGGTGTGGGTTTGAAAATATTTTGAAAACATCTTTGTAATGATTCTCGTCTCTATAAGAATGCGTACAAAGTGTTGGTTTTGAAAATAGTTCAAAGAGATGTTTGTGGAATATGTTTTTTAAAAGTGATTTTGAAAAGTGCCTTTGTAATAACTCTCGTCTCTATAAGAATGCGTACAAAAACCTTTTTCTTTTGAAAATGTTTCAATTGAAAGTGTTGGTGTGAAAATGGTTTTTTAGTTGTGAGCAAGCAAGCAACTACGAGTGTCCTACCTACTCGAAAGGTCTTTGTTCTTTTCCTCCTCCTTTAGATGTTGCTATCTTTTCCTTGATTTGCTAAGAAGCCCCATCGTTGGATGTGAAGGGATGGACGTGGGTCGTTTGTATAGTCATAGAAGGCAACCTATGGGATGTTTTAACAATTTCGTTAGGAACTAAACCGTTTACCGAAGGCAACATCGAGGGTCATCGAGGGACTACGATCTTTTATCAAGGGTCTTTGCTAAAATTCCCATATTCGAGGGACATGACTATTTTCTGAGGTAACGAGTGAGATTACTCTAGAGGTGCATGTTTGAATAGTGTGTTTGATTGCATGCATTTAGTCTTTGATTAGGGTGGTCTACTTGTTGGTTTTATCTTGCCATACACACCCTAGTTACTAACATTTGTATAAAGCAATAAAAAATATAGAAGATAAATATCCTACACTATTACAACCATATTGAATAGCAAGAAAATATAAAGACAAAACAAAATAAAAGAAGGGAAAACAAGTTCTTCGATCTAGGCAGTAGCGCCCTTCGATTCAACTCTTTCTGGCTTCTTTCGATTTGGGCCTAGAAGTTAGCGTGCGATGCATCCTTCGATTCACCCTTTTCCTGCTTCTTTTGAATGGGACTGGAAGCCAGTGTGTATCGAAGTTTGTAACCTTCGATTCACACCGCCTTTGTTTTTGTTTCCTTTCATTTGGGGTCAGATAGCAGCATGGGACGAAGCCTAAGGCTTCGATTTACACATCCTTCCTCCTGTTTTCTTTCGTTTAGGATTTAAATAGCAGCATGGGTTGAGGCCATGCTAATATTGTTTCATGGCCAGGTTAGTTCTCAAAATGTGTTTGATAAACAGAGAAACAAAGCCAAAATATTAGCAATGAAAACAAACTGAAAAGGTGGAAACAAAAACAAACCAAAGGATAATAATGATGTTTGAAACGAAATAAAATGGTTATTTACATGTCATGTTTGAAACGAAAAGCTTAAGGTTAAGAGGACTTATCTTGCTTGAAACTGGAATGTGTGTGTTGGACCTTGAGTTGCTGCCCTGGGTGTTCCTGGATTCGAAGGGAAGAAACAAGTGTTATATTTCTAGTGCTGGATTTGAAAGAAGGAACCAAGTGTTGGGTTGTGTTTGTTTGTTTCTGGATTTTGAAGGAAAATAAACAAGTGTAGTGTTTCTTTAGATTCTGGGTTTGAGAGTGTGTTTAGTGTTTGAGAGTTTTTGAGAGTTTGAGATTTCTTTTGAAGATTCTTTCCACACCATCCAAAAATCTTTTTCAACTTACAAATGGTTTCTCTGTCTATAGAGAAAAGGTTGGAGATGTTGGAGTAACCAGGTTTGCAGGATAACAAACTATGGTTTGGTTGAAAACGAAAACAAGTTTAATCCCTTTTCGTTGTTCCCAAGCTTCAAGTACAAGTGGGGCCTGGTGTCTGTTGGGGGCAGGAGATTGGACTCATGCTTTTGACATTGCTTGTGTTCAGACAAAAAAAAACCCAGATTGGGAGCTAACTTTGTGATTAAAGTACTCTTTATGAAAAAAGGGTACGTAGCTTTTTGCCACTTCATCCAAGAATGGTATTATCCAATGGATAAAACTTCGAACCTTTGTGTAATGTATCACAAATTTGTGTAAGCCTCTGATTATGTAAAGATTTGGAAGCAACATAGCCTAACAAGTGAGATTTGTAGGATAAGACTATGAGATTTGTTCTTCAACCAATCTTGCTCGAAGGGTTCAGAATTGGATTCGAAGTATGTTGCTTCGAAGGGAACCAATACTCTAATCGAAGCCTTGTGTGAAGGTAACCCTTGTCCAATCGAAGGCTTGCCTGCAGGAGGTCAATGCTTTATGACTCCAAGCAAGCATGCAAGAGGCCTTTGCTCAAATGAAAGCTTGCATGAAGAGCCACTATCCAATCGAAACGTACCTGCAAGAGGTCACATGGCCAAACAAAGGATGTAACCCAAAGCTTGCATAAAATGGGACCATTTGTCTAAACGAAGGATGTAAACCAAACTATCATTCGAAGAAGGCCACATGCCCAAACGAAAGATGCATGCAGGAGGGCCCTGCTTTGTGAATCAAAAAATCTTCCAGAAGGCCATTTCCTTCTGAATTGATGGACGCTTTTAGAAGGTCATTGTCTTCTGAATCGAAAGAAGTCAGCATGAAGCCACTAACTTCTGAATCGAAGGACACCAACATGAGGCCCTTCCCTTTTGAATCGAAGAAGGCCGTTTCAAAGGGAAATAAATGCTCAGTCGAAGCTTGTATGAAGATAGGTGTTGCCCTTGTGAACCGAAAGCAAGTTGTTTCAAAGGGAGACTTTGCCCAATCAGAGCTAACATGAAGATAGCCAATGCCCTGTGGGTGCTAATATGAATACTAGCCATATGGAAGCTTTTGCCTTGTGTACGCTAGCATGGTGGGAGCCCATTGCTTTGTGAATCGAAGCATGCAGGAAAGAGGTAATTGCTCAATCGAAGGCTGCATGCAGATATCTATTGTTTTATGAATCAAAGCAAGCATGTCAGGGGCCAATACTCAATCGAAGGATGTAAGCCAAGCTTGCATCGAAAAAGGCCAAAAGCCCAATCCAAGGATGTGAAATCGAAGTAGGCATGCTTTTCTTCGATTTGATGCTTGAAAGCCCAATTGTACTTTGTGCAAATTTGAACTTTTGAAAATCCCTGTGAGAAAATGTCTTAAGAAATGAGAGGGAAAATTTTAGAGTACAACAACAGCGAACATAGAAAACTCAAAGGCTGCAATAATGGATTTTTCATGGCAAGTTGTGTGGCCTTTCAATTTTCTTTTGAACGACTATGCACATATTCTTATAATAGTTTGCAACGAATTATTTCTACTGGACCCACACCATTGTGATAAAAATAAATTAAAAAATAGAAAAAAAATAGTGGTATGACGCATCAGCCGTATTAATGGCCAAATACATGTAATTGCAACATTAGTGCAATAAATCTGTTTTGCCCATGAAATTAGATTGGGTTAAACTTTGATTAAATAGGTTAAACTTGATTTATACTTTATATATTTATATTAGACTCCACTGAAAAACAGGATACCCTTTCATAAACCTATCAAAGATTTCGTAACGCGAGTTTGCAAAATTTGAGCTGTTATTATTCCTTCTTTTCTTATAACCTAGCAAAGCTTTCAGCTGCAACTGCAATTCAAGCACGCAGGTATTATTCCTTCCTCCCTGTGCGCCGCATCCGCCATCACTGTAGCGGCCTCACCGCCGCAATTGCTGCGATTTACTATCTACTGAGTTTTTTCTTACTATGTTTAGAACTTGTTATTATCAAACTTAATATAAATAGTAAAGGGAGAATGGTATTAGTCTTTACTCTATTGCTATTTGTCTGAACCTCAACTTGTGTTCTCTTATTGTTTATTTGTTGTTTGTTAAGTGCAGAAGAAATCACAATAAAGCAATGTCTTACGATGATGTAGAAATTGAAGACATGGAGTGGAATGAGGAGTTGCAGTCATACACATATCCTTGTCCATGTGGGGACCTGTTCCAGATCACAAAGGAAGATCTCAAGCTTGGTGAGGAAATCGCACGCTGCCCTAGTTGTTCCCTCTACATCACTGTCATCTACAACATGGAAGATTTTCTTGGAGATTCTGATCAAAATAGAACAAACAAGGCTCTTCAGCCATCCAAGCAACAAGCTGTCACTGTTGCTTGAATTTCAATTTCAGGTCTTTCACAACTTCTTATGAATATATTCAATCATTACAAGTTTGTTGTAGACTTGTACTGTTCATCCATGTTAATTTTGTTTTGTTTGTTTTTCAATTTGGGTTGAGGTATGTTATTTGTTTTATTGCCATGTGTACTTTTTTGGTTTAGATTATATAGACACAATCGGGGATAATTGTCATGTTTCTGGGTAATTAATTAAGGAGAGAATGAAAAAATTAATTGTTTTGTTAGTAAATTTATGGGGTCAGTAAATGGTCAACAGTCTTGATCAACAGTCTGAACTTTGAAAGTTAAGTGGAATTTGTCTGTGCATTGACAAGTTCGGTGGGTGTGTATGTTTTATTGCTGGAAGCAGATAGACTATCCAATTTTTTAGTAAGGCTGTATGGTTGAAATTCAAGTCCTGTAGTCGCTTATATTTGATCGTTTTTACACTTAATCATCAACCAAACCTGAGTGTGCATATATAATTTGAAAGTGAAAGGCAAGAGTTAAATGGTTCATAAGTATGAAGTACCATCTAATTAACAGTCAATATGCAGTGTGTATCAGTACCCGTATGTTGGCAAAACTCCTTATCAAGTTATCAATACACATATGTTGGCACTAGTATACCCGTCAATGAAGATCACTGTCCCTACTAAAAACCCTTTTAATTATGGCCCCATGTTGAAGGGGCCTCTTTTGGCCCCAACCCATTAAAATAGTATTTATGTGGATTTGGTCAGGGGGCTTTGTGCCCCCAGCACATATTGCAGCACACAAACTACAACTCAACCCTTGAAAAACAAGTAAACTCTGCACTCCCATTATCAGTTGTACAATATATTTTAGCCTATGGTTGGTATACAGATACCCTAAAGTCACGGTCACCCCGCATGGTATGTAGAAGGCAAACCTTTTTAAGGCCCGACCGAGTCTAATCGTAACAAGAAGGCAACCTCTTTTGCCTTTGGCAGCTATGCAATCTTAAATATGAGGACTATCCTCCTTCAATCAATGTTTGCTATTCCTTTTGGTCAAGATATGGTGAGGGCAGGGCCAATGACAAACTTACCTTTTCTCCTTAGCTCTTCCCGGCCCATGAGAATTAAGGATGAATATTAGAACCAGTTTGCAGGTCAGAAATGATGTGTTGAAGAGCCGGGTCAGTTTGCCATGATTGCTTAATTAAGTTCAATAGACCAGCATGCACATTATCCAGCATTAACGGCAATAATTCAGCAGCAGAGTTGCGAGAAAGGGCATCAACAGTATTATTATGGGACCCTTGCTTATATTGTATCTCAAAGTCCAAGCCCATGAGTTTAGACATTAGTAACTACTGAAATGGAGTGTTGAGTTTCTGCTCTAAGAGGTATTTGATGCTCTTTTGATACATACGAATCAGAAAGTGGCCGTGAGCCAAGGTTGTCAGAATCGAGAGTTTACTTTGAATCGAAAGAGGATAGTAAGATCGAACAATCGTAAATCGCAACCAAAATCGGTGGATTCTACTCAAATCGTTTTGTTGAATCGAAAGGGGAAATCAAGATCGCATAATCGAAAATCGCAACCAAAATCGATGGATTCAACTCATAATAGTAAATATATATTATAAATATATATATTATAAAGTGCAAGTACTCAAAGTTTAAAATCATAAAACAACCAAGTCTCAAATCTTGAATATAAAAGTACTCAAAAGTTTAAAATCATATAACAAACATAACAAGCAAAATCGGTGGAATCCATATGAGATTGCGGATTTTGCTGCAATTTAGCGATTTTGTGCGATATTATTGGGATCCATATGAGATCACGGCTTGAGCAAGGTAAGTACATATGGACACAGTGCTCAAAATGACCGGTATGTGTCTTGAAAGCGGTCTTATACTCTTCACCCTTTTGCATATGGACAGGGTGATAACCGGAACAGAAGTCCAATTTATAGTGGCACCACTTAATTCATCCATAAGGTCTTTAATAAGAGGAATTGAGAACCAATCCTTGATAGTATTTCGATTAAGCTGTGTGTAATCAACACAAAGGCGCCATGAACCACCCTTTTTCTAGCTAAGATAGCTGGGGATGGGAAGGGACTGTTGTTGTGCTGTCTAATTCCTTGCCGCAACATTTCCTCCACAATGTTATGACAATATCTTTTTGCAAAATATTATACCTGTAAGGACGCAAACTAAAAGCATCAGTGTCATCTTTTAAAGTAATGCAATGATCAAAGCCCGACCTTGGAGGAGGCAGCAGTTTAGGTTCCTAAGAGAAATAAAAAAACTGGGTAACTAATTCATCAATAGTTTCAGGTATAGGTGTCTGCTGTGCTGATACAGACAGCAACTGATACGGATCAGCTGGAGAAGATGTGGGAGCGGGTTCAAATAGAGAAGGCACAATTGGGCACCGTGTTGCACAGCACAAGAGAGAGATTTATTATTAGTAAGCTTGATACTAGGAGTTTTAGCTCTTCTTAAAACAAACTTCTTGCCTTTAGTAGTAAATTCCATGTGCAGCTTAGAGAATTTAAGAAGGAAATTCGGAATCAGAAGACGAAGGCTTATATGGATTCATAAACTAGACAGCAGGCACGTTGTCTATGGATCACCATGTTGGTTTTGAACACTTGGTGTGCCACACAATTTACTCTGATTATTTGTTGAGTTTTATGCTTAATTTTCCACATAGTTTTTCTATTTTGCAATTTCTTGTCCACAATTCCCTCCCATGCTGTTGCAAATCATATAATTGTCTATTGGTCTACTAGTACTTCTCCGCGTTTCTGTTTACTGTGATTTGTGTTTTATTGCCAAACACACTTTTTCCTTCCTCTGGCAATTTCCTTTATCTTTTTTGCGTGTGGAGGAGATGTCAGCTTCAGCCGTGATGTTCTTTTAGGTCTGAAACTTTACTTTAAATTTTGTATTAAAGTCCCGTTGTAATCAGATTGTTTAATATTTATTATTGCTTGTGCAATGTGAGTTTAAATGTTTACTCATTATATATATTGCGTAAATATCTTACTTTATTTTCCCCTATCTTGCAGATATCCTGAAATGGTGGGAGCAATATATTTAACCGAGAACATATCTTAGCAGTGAACATCTTCTTTTGCTGTAGGAATTGAATTTCTGGTATTCTGGCGGATCAAAGGACAAATGGATAATAGGAGAGTTTATGGTATAGTACAGCAAGAGTACCAGTGTCCATTGTTGGTTAGTTAACTGTCTTTTAGTCTTCAGATGAAGGCGGTCCAGAATTTTGCTATTGAACTCAATCGTGAATTGATATGATCCTAAGTTAAATTTTGAAACAAATCGATGTGATAGACTTCATAATAGCTCATATTACCAATTTATAGAAAGCTGCTATGATGTTTTTTTTTCCTTTTTGGATAAGTTTTTACTTTCGCGATTCTTTATTTTCTTTACCGTATGAGTTATTGTTGGAACATGTCCATGTTCCAATATGTTGAATTTAATTTTTTTTTAAAGTCCCATATTGTTAAAATATCTTTTTGGTTGAAAAAATCATTTAGTCCCACATTGCTCATGTGAAGAATATTAACTATCCTACTTCACTATATAAGGAGTGCACATGTTTCATTTCAAATTACACCAAAAACTATTCTATTAGTTTTTTCTTCCTTACTTTCATAACTCTGCGTCTCTCGAATTGTCGAAGCGTCATCTTCTTTCCCTTTCTTCCTACTCGTTGAATTTTTTGAGTATTTTCTTGAATTCTCTTTAGAGAATTATGTTAATTTCTCCTCATTCATTTGAGTTGAGAAATTTTCAAGTTTAATCTTTTGGATTCTCTTTGAAGAATTATTTGAATTTCTCTTTGTTGGAGAAATTATTATGAGTGGTCAAATGACTATTATTAATTTCTTTTTGAAGAATTATTTGAGTTTCTTTTTGTTTGAGAAATTATTATGACCGGTTTTTGTACTAGATATTACAAATGATGTCGATACCATATTTGAATGGTCTTGTACCATCAGAGGGTGTATTTCTAGATCGATTATCTATCATGCAAGTAATCGTACAATATAGAACTGAGCTGTTTTATCCTGGAGGCTAGTTCGACTGCTTTGCATAATTTTGAGCAGTGCTGTGAAACGTCTTAAAGAGAGCGATGTAGTCCGCGACTCAACCTGGTAATTTCTTCGGTGGCAAATATTTTAAAATCTGAAATCAACAATTTTAAGACGTTTCAAACTGCCATGACTACCGAAGAAATTATTGGTTCTTTTGCGGATATTGTTTTTGAGAAATCTTTCATGTTTGAGAGAAATCACTTCAAACGTTGGCAACAAAAGATGAAGTTCTTAACGTTGAAAAAAGTTACTATCAATCTGATCGATGACATTCTGTTGCTCCTTCTGGAACAATCGAACAAACTAACGGTAGTAAATCTGGAGATTTAGAAGAAACACTTAATAGTGTTGAAGTTGAATCTGCTGCACAGATTAAAGCGGATGATTTACAACATAGTAAAGAAATCACCTTATAGAAAGAGAATGAAAATCTCTACAAAATCATATTTTGAATAGACTCGCAGATGATCTGTATGAAAATTACAATTGATGTGATACTGCAAAACAAGATTGAGAGACTAAAAAAGAAGTATGACGTAGAAGATGAAGCAAAGAAGTATGTTGTTAGCCGCTACTTCAAGTATCAAATGCAAAGATGTAAGGTCGATGAAAGCTTAATGTTACGAACTTCAAAAGATTGCTTAAAAGATCATCACAAAAGATATGTGTTTAAATGAACAATTTAAAATTGGTTTTATTATTGACAGACTACCCCATAGTTTGAATGTTTTAAAAAAACAAAAAGGAAATTTTAGAGACAATATCAAAAAGAAAAAGTCTTGGTTGTTTCAAACAACAAAAAGAAATTCGGTGTAGTTCTGAAGCCATTTGACAAATGATTAAAGAATCAGAACTGCAATATTGTGAACCGAATAAAGAATGGGAATCCTTCTATGATCCCAATAGCTCCAACTAGGCAACAACCACCACCTAAAAGAAATGACGTTGGTTTCCCTTTGTTTTAATTATAGAAAATCAAGTCATATGATTAAGAAATGTAGAAGTAAGCTTGAACTTGGTGTTGTCCCTAATGCACAGGTCAACCTGACTAATGAGAAATTTATTGCTATGACCATTGAAATCAACATGGTTGATGGATATGTTGGTTGGTGGATAGACACCTGCGTCTCTCGTTGTGTCTGTTATGATCGTGTTATGTTTAAACATACACGAATACTAAAGATAAGAAAGTGTTGTTGGGAGATGGCCAGACCACGAATGTTGCTGAAATTGTAGACATAGAGCTAAATTTCACCTTTAAAAAGACTTTAATCTTAAGGAACGTTATGCATGTTCCTAAGATTAGAAAGAATATTGTTTCTGGTTTTCTTTTAAATAAGACATGGTTTAGTCAGTCTATTTGGGTAGATTTGTACGCCATTATGAAGAATGAAGTTTATATGTTTAAATTTTTTGTAAAGAATTTGAAAATGATATAATAAGAATTTGTAGTGATAGATAAACTGTATGATTCTAGTTTATTAATGAATTTTATACATGAAATTGTACATGAAATGACTGCACCATACTATCTTGCAATGAATGGTAAAACAGAAAGAAAGAATAGAACTCTTACTGAACTTGTTGTTGCAATTATGATGAATTCTAGTGTTGCACCTCACTGGTGGGGGAAATTTTTATTGACTGTTTACTATGTCTTGAATAGAGTCCCCAAGTCAAAATGTAAGATCTCTCCTAATGAGATATTAAAGAAAAGACAATCAAACTTATCTTATTTGAGAACTTGGGGTTGTCTGACTTATGTCAGAATTCCGGATCCGAAATGAGTTAAACTCGCTAGTAGAGCATATGAATGTGTTTTCATTCGGCATGCAGCAAACAGTAAAGCATATAGGTTATGATACGGTGGCAGAACCGACTATTTTGAAAATACTGGTTTGCGTTTTGCGTTTTGTATTTGCAAAATGTCGCGGTAAGCAAGAGTCGCCACCGACTTTTACTTCATCCAACCGGAAAGGAAAAAGTACAGAAAAAATCCTTTTTCGAGATTTTGAGTACGAGGGGTAGATTATAGAAAGGAAAGGTGTTAGCACCCTTTCTATCCATGGTTTTTCATGGACTCTTAGGTACTTGCTCATCTTTTAAAATTGCTTGTGTGTGTGCTTGTTTTGAAAAGTTTTGTTTTACTTCGTTTTAACCCTTGTTTCTGTACTCAAGAGTGTTACGAAGTGTTTTGAAAACTTTAGTTTGAAAATCTTGTTTGAAAGTGTATGGTGTAAAAGATTTGTTTTTGAGCAAGTACCTACTAGAATCTACCCACTCGAAAAAAAGAGGATCGTTTCTATGCTCGTTTCCTTTAGACAATGCTATCCTACTATTGAGAAATAGGAAGCACCGTCGTTGGAGTTGTAATGGTCAATTCGTAAGGGACGTACGATCACTAAAACAATGTTAGGACGTCTTAGTAATAACCCTAAAGTCTTAAGATCATATTCGAGGCAACATTTCCGAACGAGACTTTTGATCTTTGTTAGACAGGAGGGCAACCACTAAGACATCCTATACTTAATGATCGTTTACCGAAGGCAACCGAAGTGAGAGTATATCCTAGGAGTTCACATGTGCGAGTGATTTGATTTCCGTTATTATCTTTGCACATTAGAGTTTTCTAGCCGTTTTAAGTTATCATGCAATCTTGTCATACAATCCTATTAACATACATCTAAACAATTAATATTTGCGAGAATTAAAATGCGAGAAATAAAACCTACGCTATTACAAGGCTTCGGGGTAGGGATTAATCACATAGCCAAAAAAACCCGTAAAAGACGATAAATAAAAGAAAATCCTAATTTAAACTATTACATACCGTATACAGTTACATTAATATTGCACAAAATAATAAACGCGCGCGATGAATCAAAAACAAGAGAATTAGGGTTTTGACCCCAACTAAGCCTAATTGTAAATTAAAAGAAAAATCATTTTTTATCGTTTTGTGTTATTTGAGAAAATGAAACTTAATTGAATAACCTAATCACTAACTAATTTTAGTTAAGAAAAATAATTAAATTAACCTATTTTTTTTTGTATTTTTTATTTTTGAGAAAAGAAATAAAAATTAAATTAAATCACAAGTCTAACCCTAATTTTTCTAATTAATTTTAATTATATAAAAAGTTAGAATTACCCTAAATTAAATTAAACTAATATTAAATTAAATTTGATAAAATAAAACCTAAATCTAATTTTTTTTGTGAAACTTTTGATTTTATGATTTTATGAAAAAAAAGAAATTAATTTTGTTAAAAAAAACAATTAAGCAAATAATAAAAGAATTAAGAAGAAAAAAAAAGAAAGAAAGATGGGTCTGGTTGCTTTGCAAGAAGGGGGGTGTTATTTGCAATTCTGGCCCCAACAAGCTCCTGGCCCCATTGACTTTGCTAGATCCAGTGGGCACGCTTGACTTAGGCGTATGGTGGTCCTTCATTGGATAGCCTTGGATCTGCAGCCTTGATGGATGGGACGGCCGGATCTGGATAGTACACGATGGATCCCTTGCCATATGATACACTGGATTACCCTGAAAATATTGAGAAAATAAAATGCACACGCCTGGGATCGAACCCAGGATGTGTGCATTAAAGACCAACAACCTTACCATCTGCGCTAGCTTATTAGTTGTAACAATAATGAAATAAATAGGATATAACACAAACAACATGCCACACTTTCCAAAACGCGCGCAGATTCAAACAAGTCACTCACATACTGCCACACCGTTGTCTTCTTTGTGGCTTCCGTCGTTTTAGATAAAAGGCTTTTACCTACGGACACCAAGCGTAGGTATAACCCTTGTTCATTCCAAAATCTCATACATGCATGATAAATGAAAACTAATGGTACCAATCTACTCGTTGCAACCTCACGAGCATCATGGTACCATTATTAATGGCCAATTTTCCCTGTACACAAAACCCCTAAAAACAAAGCAC